AAAAGTGTTATGAAAAATAAACAAAGAAATTAAGGCACTGAAAGACTCAAAGCTCTAAGTCACAAGTTAAGAAACTTGTTTCAAGTTATACCAGTGACTTACTAGGACCTTTGCCTCAGCTTCCCCAAATGCAAAAAAAAAAAAAAAAAAAATTGTGATGTTCTAGAAGAGCTCCATCAATGTTACTTAAAGACAAACAGTCACGTTTCAAAGAAGTTTGAGCCCTAAAGATCATCTAGTTTAATTCCCTAATTTTATTTAGAAAAGTGGTTACCTGATGAGTCCTACAGCTAGTTTTTAGCAAAGAAGGATTTAGCAGAGAAGACTCAGGTCTCCTGGTTAACGTTCCTCCCAACCCATCATTCTGTAAAAGGATAAGGAGTAGGAAAATGACAAATAAATTTGATTGCCACTTTGGCAACATTATCTTTGTACTGTGTATACTTAATAAATTCAAGCAGGAGCTACAATACAGCATTCCAGAGTACTTAAAAAGCAAAGCCTACAAACACATTAGTGATTCATTTTACTGTGAGATCTTTATTAACTCAAGAAAGGTAAAATTCCCCAGAAGAAATAAAGTTACTGCTATCAAGACCATCCAAAATTCAAATAAGTGCTTTAGTGTCACTGCACTGACATCCATGGTTTATTTTTACCCAACCCGGTTGTAAAACTGACTTTAAGAGGCTATTACACAAATAAAACACAGGTTAGCATAGATTAAACCAGAAATAAGAGCATGAAAATAAGACAAAATATAGGGAAACAAAATGAAACTAGGGATAAAGTTTTTTAAAAAGTACAACGAAAAGGCCTGCAACCTTGGCTCTAAACTTCCAAAAGCCAATACGATAACAAAGACCTAATGAACACAAATTACAGCGCCCAGGTAATAAAAACAGACTAAAAGCTTAGACAAAAATACAATTATTCTTAGCTGCACATCTATCTCCCTGAGGTCCTTACAAAGAAGGCACTGTGTAATACAAAGGAACTCCTCAATATTTCAATAGTCGCAATGAAATGTTTTATGAAATTATTTTTATACTGACTCTCAAGATAAGCCTATAATAACAGTTCAGAGGGGAAAAACAAGAAAAGGAAGGTCTACATAATGTGGTCCAGGTACCCAGAACGCTACTGATTTAAGAGCGCATTTTAAGAGAGTATCTAGAAAAATTATTTTAACAGCAAGTACTCACTACAGAAGTTTATAAGCACAAGACCCAGAAGATTCAGCAAAATGAGAAATGAGCCCAGGAATTCATAACAAAATAGCAGGGGCAGGGGAGGATTCTGAGGGAAAAACAGAATATAAAAAACTACAGTGAAGAGAGCAAGGCAGGGAGCAGTGGCTCACGCCTGTAATCCTAGCACTCTGGGAGGCCGAGGCGGGCGGATCGTTAGAGCTCAGGAGTT